GCAGAAGAAGAAAACCGCCTCCTCACCGAACCCGGAAGCTGTCGCGGATCGGCCGCTGGTCGCTTGTCATCCGGCTGCTGCTCTCGAACCCGGCGCCTGAGGAGAGAACCGCGTTCCCCGGGAGCCTGAAATCTTTTCCCCCCCCGCTGACGGAGAAGCGCGGAGCGAGCATGGCGGGTCGGCTGCCGGCCTGTGTCGTCGACTGCGGCACAGGGTGAGCGAGGAAACACCAGATGCTAGTTAGCGTTAGCCTGCTTCCATTGACCACAGCGGCGTCTGTCACAGCTGAGCTAACGCCCTGCTGCTAACGTTAGCATGCTACACCCGGTCTTTAACCTCGCAGTGTGTGAACACGTGTTAATGTGATGAACTGTCGCCGCGGAGACTTTATGTAGAATCTGTTTTTGACCTCAGCACCGTTTCATACACTGGGATTAGCCGCTGCTAGCCGCTCGAGCTAATGCTACTTCCTGGACCGTCCTCTCACAGGAAACTCATCATCCCACTGGTTCTGGATTTTAACTGAGCTCCGCCTGTTCTGTCCGTTTCTTCTGTTCAGGTACACGAAGCTGGGATATGCAGGAAACACAGAGCCGCAGTTCATCATTCCTTCATGTGAGTAAACCATCAAACCACCACCTGAACTGGAGCTGCTGTTCAGAGTCAAGCGTTTAAAAGCTTTTAATGGAAATACATTGCAGCTCAACAACACAACGTTCATTAGATAATAACAACCTTTAAAAGGGTCACACTACATTTGAACACACTGAGTTTGAGACCTCACGAATGATAGAAAACGAGAACGCTTCCTTTATGATTTTCAACAACGTGACAGTTTCAGGTCGACTTCCTTTTACCTCCGGCTCATGTGCAGAGAGACGACTTGAAATAAGCATCTTTATTCGGAAGGGGAACCTCTGATTATAAATACAACAAACCTTTGTGTCAGCGAATGCAAATGAACAGCCATCGAGTTTCTCCATCTGTTTCAGGAAAAATGTTTTTCATGTAAACAAACCCACAAATTGTGACTTGAGCAGGATTCACTGGAAGAACGAGGACGAGGAAATGACTGAGAGAATCACCGATGGTTTCTTCTTGTTCCTCTTCAGGTATCGCGATCAAAGAATCGGCCAAGGTCGGAGACCAGGCTCAGCGCCGGATGATGAAGGGCGTGGATGACCTGGATTTCTTCATCGGGGACGAAGCCATCGACAAACCGTCATACGCGACAAAGGTAGAGCTGAAGTTCAGGTTTGGTTTTCCTGTGTGAATTCTGGACGTTACTCATTATTACATTCATGCTGTGTCCTGTTCTCTCTCCCAGTGGCCCATTCGTCACGGGATAGTGGAGGACTGGGACCTGATGGAGAGATTTATGGAGCAGATCATCTTCAAGTATCTGCGGGCAGAACCTGAAGACCATTACTTCCTTTTGGTAAGAGCAGAACTACAACCTAGTAAATGTACTACATTTCCCTGTCCTGAAAATCTCAAGTCATTTGCCTCTTGGGTCTTTACCTCCTTTCACAAATGTTTGCTTTTATTCTGTTGTGTAGCTGAAGTTAAGTTAGAAACTAGTGTTTAATACTCACGTGATGAATCTGTCCGTCTCCGTCTCTCTCTGCAGACAGAGCCTCCACTCAACACTCCAGAGAACAGAGAGTACACAGCAGAGATCATGTTTGAGTCGTTCAACGTCCCCGGTCTCTACATCGCTGTTCAGGTGCGTTTCATACAACGAATACCTCAAACTGCAGGACTCACAACTAGTGAACACACATGTGAAACCAGACTCTGTGATAAAATTAGATTTGACTCTTTTCACTCAGAAAAATGAGTCAGACAGTGTTTTTATTATCGCTTCCTCTTCTTGAGGTTTCGCAGTCGTGTCTGAATATTTCCACTTGATTTAAATTCTGCACAGTGTCGTCACTGGGAATTCCTGAATTCTGAAGCACGAGTCATGTTTAAATGTTGCTTTTATTTTTTAAGCCTCAATCATTTTAAGATATTGAATCTTCACTACATCACTCGATCCTGTTTTTTTTTTTTTAAACGTGAACTTCCTGTCTCAGGCTGTTCTGGCGCTGGCTGCCTCCTGGACGTCCCGACAGGTTGGAGAGCGGACGCTGACAGGGACCGTGATTGACAGTGGAGACGGAGTCACACACGTCATCCCAGTGGTCGGTGTTATTATTATTATTATCATTATTATCATCAGGAATCACTTTTTAGCTGCTTCCTTGTTCTCAAGCGTTAACTCTGCTGTCCAGGCTGAAGGCTACGTCATCGGCAGCTGCATCAAACACATCCCCATCGCTGGTCGAGACATCACCTACTTCATCCAACAGCTGCTGAGGGAGCGGGAGGTGGGAATTCCCCCGGAACAGTCTCTGGAGACGGCTAAAGCTGTCAAGGTCGGTATTCATTTAATTTATCATTCAAGATCTTTCCTCAGAAACATAAAATCTAGATGTTTCGACGGTTCGTTAAAGTTAAAGCATGAAAAAGGGACTTAAATAACACAAGCAAGAACTTGAATTTGTGAAAATGGAAATTGCATCAGCCCTCTGCCTCCAGCTATAATGAAAATAACCAGTTTTCTCTCTGTCAACAGCCGTGAACTCGCGGCAGCAATATTTTAAAAGTGACAGTTGTGGCTCGTCGTTTTGAGTTACATATGTGTCAAGATATTTAGATTACGGCACATAAATAATTCAGTTTAATTTAATGATCCCTTATATTCTCATATTGCAAAAAGAAGCAGCCAGGAAACGACGGAACAGATGATGGTGTGATTGAGGGTGTGCTCCTGAGTTTGGCCACTAGATGTCAGTGCAGCTGCAGAAACGTCTGCACGTCTCCAAGTGATGACTCCAGGTTTAACTCGTCATAACATCTGCATTCTACCACAGCTGGACTATGTTGCTTTGTTTTTCAGGAGCGGTTCAGCTACGTCTGCCCCGACCTGGTGAAGGAGTTCAGCAAGTACGACACAGACGGCTCCAAGTGGATCAAACAGTACACCGGCGTCAACTCCATCAGCAAGAAGGAGTTCACCATCGACGTCGGCTACGAGCGTTTCCTGGGGCCTGAGATCTTTTTTCATCCTGAGGTACGAGCGATCGCTTCTTAGAGATGTCGTGTTCGTGCTGCTGATGATGATGTTGATGGATGATAACAAAAAGAAAATTTTCTGATTTGTTTTTCTTTTGCTCTCGTCCAGTTTGCAAACCCGGATTTCACTCAGCCGATCTCAGAGGTGGTGGACGAGGTCATCCAGAACTGTCCCATCGACGTCAGGCGTCCGCTGTACAAGGTACAGAAGTCTCGTGAATGTGACGCTCGCACGAGGGAAGCGTGTTTGTATGTTTTTGTTGACGTGAACTTGTGTCTCAGAACATCGTGCTCTCCGGAGGCTCCACCATGTTCAGGGACTTCGGCCGGCGCCTGCAGAGGGACCTCAAGAGGAGTGTGGACGCACGACTGAAAATGAGCGAAGAGCTCAGCGGCGGGAAGTTGAAGGTGAGACAATGACAAACCCACCGGAGGGAAAACGTCTGATAGGTGTTTTCGTCTTGTCTCTTACACGTGTGACGCTTTGTTTTCAGCCCAAACCCATCGACGTGCAAGTCGTCACTCATCACATGCAGAGATACGCTGTCTGGTTCGGAGGATCAATGCTGGCGTCTACTGTGAGTTTCAGTGGTTTCTCGTCACATGTATTTTTCTTTTCACGTGTTTTCATTTTCAAAACATGAAGATTAATTAAGAATCGTTTGTTTTTGTTTTTTTTGCAGCCTGAGTTTTACCAAGTGTGCCACACTAAGAAAGATTACGAAGAGATCGGGCCGAGCATCTGCCGCCACAACCCCGTATTCGGCGTCATGTCTTAGGCCGGGGAGAAAGCGGAGGAAGCGCCACAAGACCTCACTCGCTGTGGAAGTCCCATGAGCCTTTGCACGGATGCTCCGAACAGGCCTGTTCATTCGGATTGATCGACAGCGGACCAAACAAACTGCCAATCAAAAGTGTGGCAATCTCCTCGCAAATCAGAGGAAAGAGGTGACGCAGCCCAAAGGTTCCTCAAATACAATGTTTACTGCAAGTAGGTTAATAATAGGTGATAAATCTTAAATTTGTGTGCCTCGTATATGTACTTATTCTCTCCTCACAGGGTTGTAATATGTGATTAATCAACATGGGTCCTGTGTAAATGCACTTCTCTGTGTGGAAGCGTCGGGTTCTCGCTATGTGTTATAAGAATTAAAGCTAAGGGGTTGTCTGGAGAACCGGGACACGCTTCGATCGATCCAAGAAACAAACACCAGTGAGTCAAACTCCTTTCTGATCATTTAGTCGAACGAGTGCAAACGCAAATACACGGTTTAAAAAAAAAAAACAGCGTTCATTCCTGATTTTCTTTCTTTCTTTTTTTGTGGGTGTTTAAAATATCTCTCGGTACCTGGAGGAAATATTTCAAGTATTTGTCTCCAGGTGTCCCTGAGACAACTTGTCGTCTTTTCTCCGCTTTTCTTTTGACCTTTTTATTTGTATCAACGCCCCGAAAAAGGAAAAAAAAAAAGCATTGTGTTAATATATGATCATGCAGTTTGAAAGACTGTTGGTGGACCATCACTGTTGCCTAGATCTCAGTCATACTGGATAGCCTTGTACTGTACCAAATCTGGATTTCAATACTGGCATGACAATAAATGCCAACGAGATGTTTGTCGTGTTGTAGTTTGTGTTTTTCAAGAATAATGTGTAGAGTTCTAAATATCTCCTGCTCATTATTAGAGAAAAAGTCTTTTTAACTCATCTACAGTTCAGCTTTATTACAGTTTAACTTCAGTAACTTAACCTGCCATCAAACTCTACGCTATTTTAAAGTAAAACACTTTGCATGAACATGCCGCCACTCTATTTTTACTCCCCCCCCGTCCTGCAACTCTATCTCCTCCAAATGAGCAACACATGATGCAACATTTATTTTCGTTCTGCCGCTTCGTGTGGAAAACACCGGTCAGTCCGGATCAGGAGTGAATCAGAATTTACTCGGTGTATTTGAACATGGAAGCAAAGACGGAGAGTAAATAAAGAGTTCGACAGAGTCTGACTGTAAAAGGAAGAGATAGAAAGAGCAGCCGGCCGAGACATGTCTCCGGCAGAGAGGATGAAGCTTCTCCTCTTCCTGGCGTCGTTCTTCGGAGCCGTAGGATCTCTGCTCATGCTGCTCTGCTGCGGCACCGAGTACTGGCTGCTGGCTGCGGAGTCCTGCAGCCGACCCGAGGACAGACGTGAGGTAAGTGTCCTCAGGACATCACACGACTTTATCTGCACGCCGTTCTAAAAGCATTGTCACAAAAAAGAGAAGAAATCAACAGCGATATGTTGTTAAACTTGGTAAAGCAGAACGTACTGCGGCTTAAAGTTAGTATTTGTTCACTACTCTATGATTCTGTTTATATTAGAAGAACCCATGTTTATCAGAATGATGTACGAAGAAGGTGCAAAGGAAAATCAAGCTGAAGAAAATAGAGTGAATAAGGAAAGAAGACAACTGAGATCCTGTTTGTCATTTGTGAATAAAGTTATTGTCTTAAATTCTCTGTCAGTGACGTGCAGAGGTCAGAGGTCACAGATCCTCTGTGGACGTGCACCAGTGATTAATCCTTTACACAAACATGTCGTCAAACTTCTTTAGCTCTCGAGAGACATTTAAAATGTTTTTTTGTTTTTTTTTCAGGGAGCAGGTCAAAAAGAAAACTTTATTGTTCAATAATAATCATTATTCATTGTCTTCCATCAGAGCGGAGGAGACGAGATGAGGATCTTTCACGAGGGTTTGTTCTGGCGATGCTCCTTCGTGGTCACTTCCCATGAGTTCTCAGTGTGGGACCTGTGGATCTGTGAGAACCTCCGCTACACACGGTCTTTTAAAACATACCCGATGCTGTCACGACCTCCAAATGTCTAAAAAAAAAAATCTTTATTATAACCCTCAGCCAATCAGCCGTCGTCAAAGGTTTGCCAGGCGGCCTTCCTCTTCCCGTTTCCTGTGAACGAGCCAGTGAGATCCCAGATGGACGCACTTCCTCCTGAGCCATACGAACATCCCTCCGCCATTGGTTTGTGTATATTTGCAGTTTTCACAGTTGGTGGTGATTTGTCCTGAGTCTCATGGTCTCATTGTGCTCCTCAGTGTTCAGGACCTTCTGGAGCATCTTCCTCGTCTCAGGTTCGGTTTCTGTCATCACAGGCGGGTTTGTGCTCATCTCCGCCGGCTCGTTGACCAATCACAAGCTCGTTAAAGCCGGTGGGGCCCTTCAGCTGTGCGGGGGTGAGTGTGTTCGTTCTTTTCTTTAAATTAAATCCAGGACTTCTAATTTGACCAGGTAGAATTTACGTGATATTATTATCATGTACAAAGATGCAGCGGAACAATCAGAATTCAGTTTTTAATGAGAGAACAAATGAAATTAAAAAAATTTAAATTATAAATAAGATGAAAAATGAAACATTTAGGATAAAAGAAGAAATAAACTCCTCCTCTGAGGGATGATGGACGTATAGATCTTAAACTTGACTTCTCCCTGTCAGGCCTGTGTCTTCTGGCCGTACTGTTGATGTACCTGATGTGGATCCAGGTCCTGGACACCCTGGAGCAGTTTGTCCTCCACCAGAGTGTCTCCACCTGTCCCTCCTTCCACCTCAGCGTCCATCATGGTCCCTCCTTCCTCCTGGCTCCAGCGGCCGTCTTCTTCTGCCTGCTCGCCGGCCTGCTCTTCGTCCTGATTGGCCGGATTGTTCAGCGGGACCAGAAAAAGGACAGAGTTCCTGAAACTTCGTTGTAGGATCCAGTTTTTTTATCCAGGCTGAAACTGTGATTGACAGGAGGTCACTCAGCGATGACCAAAATCAAAAATGTGGATCCCTCCCCCCGGTGAAGATAATTGGAATCCTTAATTGGAGACTTGTCATTGTAAATAGTTTTTCTAATCTATTTAACAGATCCCATTGTGATTAATACCCCGATACACTCGCTCTGGTTTGATTATAATTGATGAATCAGTTTTGACAAAGAAGTGGCGGGCGTGCGGGTGCTGGGCCGCTGGTGTGCACGTTGAAGGATTGAGTGGGATGAGAGTGAGCGGAGCTGCCTGTCACCGGGACGTCAGGCTGAAGCACACTGGGTCACAGGGATGGAGATAATAATAAATTAGACTGTCATAATCCATTTTCTGACAGGAGGCCACTTCAGGGACGCCTCCTGGGGTGTGTAAGACACTCAGCGGTCACTAGAGGACAGTGTTGTCTCGGGATAACGTTGGGAGCAGTTGTTGAAGTGTCCACGTCAGATCAGGCCTGTGGACGATATATGTGACAAGTGATGGGGGGGGGTTTAATTCTCCTGGCGAATTAAAGACACCGACTTTTGTGTTCGTCAAGTTTCAGTGTGGTTGGTGTAATATTTGAGGTGGTGGTGGGGGCCTGCAGTCACACCTTGATAATTGGAAAAGGCAAACAGAGGTGAGACCTCGAGATGAGGGTAACAAAAGGGAGAGAAGGGGAAGGTAAAAGGA